CAACAAGAGTAAATTAAAATACATAAAAACACACTAAATAAATTGTAGATTTGAACCGCTACCATCTTCCTTCTAATTTGAACTACCACCACCAAATTGTCTTCCAAGAATTTCCATCTTCAGCTTATTGTAATACTCTACTTGTAATGGAGGCATGCCATTAGTGTTAATTGCCATAATCCTCTCTCATCTTGTTTCATAGCTTTCAATCGTATTTTCCCTTTTTGATATTTTGAGCTTCTTGAGCGACATGTAATCTCGCTTGCTCTATCTTTATGCACTCTTGCTCCTGAACATAAATTTGATCAAATAATTCTGCTCTTTTTGTTTCTTTTTCTTTCCGATCCTGCTTTATTTTATCAATAAATAATATCATTTGTGTAATTTCAGAAGCCATATGCTTGTCTTTACCTTGTTTCAACCTTTCTTTTGCAGCCTTTCTACCTATGGGTCTTGACGAACCCTCAGTAGGACATTCGTCTTTCCTGCAATTTATTGAATCTAGAGTTGCAGGAGAAGAAGTAGTAGGACTTGAATTTTTTGACTTCTTAGATTTTTTTTCATTGAAAATTGGCCAAACCACTTTGGATGAAACCTTAACTCATTCAAACAATGTAAAAATTGAAAACTTACTCCTTTCATGCTTTGAAACATTTGCATTGCTTCCATAATCTAATTAAAAAATAAAATAAATTTACTAACATGTAAAAAGTAAAACAATTAATAAATTATATAAATCCCATCAGTTTAAATAATTTGAAGCTACAATTAGTACCTTGTCATTCTCTATCACACCACTTTGATTTCTTGCTTCAATATGGTTAAAACACCCGCAAAATTTACTAACTACAATTTGAATAGCCGACCAAGGTGCTCTAGCCCTTTTTGATCACGATCGCTACGGAATGTCTTGTTTTCTTGATAGTAAGTTGCTACTCGGTACCAAAATGTGGAATATTTTTACAATGTCCCTTGCATTGGATCAATGCTAGTGTTGATCAAGCAAGATGTCTTCTTCCATCCGATATTTTTATTTTCACATCGACTTCTTTTGCAATGGTACATTTTTTACCGAATTTTCTTCGGGTATGTCCAGTTGAAATGATTGCTCTTCATATTGATCTTCCCATGGATAATGACTAGTCATGAAATTGACATAATATGGATTATTATTTTCTTCCATCTACATCAAGTATAAATCTCACATAAGTATGATTTAATTAAAATTCTCAAATTGTTGAAAATATAAGAAACATGAAGTGCAAAAATAAAAAATAAAAAATAAAAAATAATTAAACAAAAATTATAACTTACCTTAAATTGTAGTATATATGATGAAATAGAGGTAAAAACAATGAAAGAGTGAAGTGTGAAAGTGCACTTCACGGTAGTACCCTAGGATAAAAATTAGCTAGATAATTTAAAAAAAATAGCTATTGGAGCTAAAAAAACCTATACTAGAAAAACAGTCAATACTAAGGAAAGAAGCCTTTACTAGAAAACACCCTATACTATAAAGACAACCTATAATTAAAAAAAGCTCATACTAGAAAAACAGCCTATACTAAAAAAAGCCTATACTAGAAAAACACTCTATACTAGAAAAACAACCTATAATTAATAAAAAATATTAATAAAAATTTATAATAAAAAATTATAAGGGGTATGTTTTAAAAAATATTAATCAAATTGAATTAACTATATATTAACTCAATTATTTTATTTTGAATTTACTATACATCAACTAAATTTGATTAACTATACATTAACTCCATTAAAAAAATATTAATATAAAATTATAAGGGGAAGGTTAAGGGACTTTAACCTTCCCCTTAATTTGGGGAGAGAGTTAAGGGGTTTGGGGTGAAGGAGAAAGTTTTCAGACTAGTTGGAGCAGGCTCCCTACGATCCCCCTTAATTTAGCTAAGGGGCCAGATTTTTCCGGCCCCTTGGAGATAGGGGTGAGCACGGTTCGGTTCGGGTCGGTTTTTACCAAAATTTGAACAACCGAACCGAACCACATACAATTCAAAACCGAACCGAACCATTACAAATCGGTTCGGTGCGGTTCGGTTCGGTTTGTTCGGTTTTAACTTCATCAAGTATAACTTCACTTCAATTTATATTTTATATATTATTATTACCCTATGCCAGCATGCATTTGTTTTTTAACTTCACTCCAATTTATTATTCTTGCTCATGTATGTATACTGTTTTTAAGTGAAGTAACTTGTCCTTTTGGATTAAATACTAGACTCTGACGTTGTAATTTTTTAGTAACGAACTTGCTTTGTCTTTGTGTAGCAAGCTTTGACTTTGGTCTTTGTGGAGACAAAAAAAAGAGCTGACTCATTAGAACATTGGTTATGTATGAATCAATTCCCTGCAACTGCTATTCATGGTGATCGAACACAACAATAAACCCACAAATCAAAGGCACAAATATATTCGGTTGGTTCGGTTCGGGTCGGTTTGAAAAATTGTCAACCCGACCCGAACCGCCTTACTCATAAAACCGCTTTTTCCGGGTCGGTTCGGGTCGGTTCGGTCGGTTTTTTCGGTTTGAACCGAACCGTGCTCACCCCTACTTGGAGATGCTCTTAGATGTTAGTTTCTCAAATCTTCAATAACTCCAAATTAGTCCTTCACGTCTCAATTGTTGCTCATTAGTATCTCAAATCCTAGTGTTATTGCAATTTGGTCCCTTAATGACCAAAACACTCTTAAGTAACGTTTTTTGAAGGGCTATTTGGAATTTGGCACATCAAAGTTTAAACTTTTTGACTTTGATACCCCCAAATTCTTTTTGACACTTTGATACCCTAAAGTTTGCATCTTTTTTAAACTTTGATATCCCAAATGTTTTTATGACACTTTGATACCCGAAATTCAACATATTTTTTAAACTTTCATACTTAAAATTCCACATTTTTTAACTTTGATGCCTAAAACTTAACACACAATTTTAAATTTGACATCCAAAAGTTTGGGGTATCAAAGTGTCAAAAAACAAAAGTTCGGGTATCGAAGTGGCATAAAAGTGTTAGCAAAAATTTTAAGTATCTAAGTTAAAGAAAGTTGTAAACTTTAGGGTATTAAAGTGTAAAGAAAAAACTTTGGGATATTAAAATTAACAAGGTGTAAACTTTAGAATACCAAATGGGGAATAACCCTTTTTGAAAAAGATAGGTTCTAAGTGTGAAATCATAACTAAGGGGCATTTTGGTCATTGAGGAACCAAATTGTAAGACCCCTAAGGATTTGAAGGACTAATGAGCAATTATTGAATTTTGAGGTCCTAATATGAATTTATTGAAGATTTGAGGGACTAACATGCAAATAACCTTATTTCTTTTGGGTTAACTTCAGAAAACCCCTTTCACAAATAAAGAACACCCCCCGGGTAGGGGTGTGCAACGGTCGGTTCGGTTCGGTTTTTACTAAAATTTGAACAACCGAACCGAACCGCCTATAATTCAAAATCGAACCGAACTGTTGCAAGTCGGTTCGGTGCGGTTCGGTTCGGTTTGTTCAGTTCTAACTTCTTATCAAACTTCTTATCAAACAACAAACTGTGTTAAGGGAAAAAAGATATCAACAAAGTAGGAGATTATGAAGCATTAAACATTGATATAATGATATTGTTTTCAACCCATAATGATTCAGAAAATGAGTTTAGGGTTTGAGTCTTTGACTCTTTGGGGACGAGTCGGGTAGGGTTTGAGATCAGAATGGGCAGTATTGCACTATATTTGGTCGGTTCGGGTCGGTTCGGGTTAAAAAGTTTTCAAACCGACCCGAACCGTCCTACTCATAAAACCGATTTTTTCGGGTCGGTTCGGGTCGGTTCGGTCGGTTTTTTCGGTTTGGACCGAACCATGCTCAGCCCTACCCCGGGGGAGGGGGGCGTAATTGTAAAAGGACCCCTAAAGGCCAAGGGATTTTACACATAATCTTATGAACTTGTGTTGTTCTCATTAAACCCTTTAAAGTTTTTCATTTAACCGCGAAAACCACCTTAAAACATAACACGTTAATTTGAGAAATAATAAAAGGATAGAAGAGTGATTTCTTAAGGGTTGGGGATATTTGCGTCTTATTTTGTCATGCCCTGACACGTGACACGTTAGATTAATAGTGTTATTTTGAGAGTTAAAGGGTAAAATATTCAAGGATTTAGTAATATAAAACAAATTCAAGAAGGTTATGCACGATACCCTAAAGTTCAGGAGAGCTTGTAGAATTAAAACGCACAAGTCAGATTATCTCCAAAACACCCAAAGTTATGGGGGCTGTGGTAGATTAGTCGGGATGGCGGGGATGAGAAAAATGGATATGGATGTAAATATCAATATCGATATCTGATAGGATACAAATATAGATATATAAGTGAAATGTCCATATTGGATATTTTAATTGTTAATTTTATGGGAACAACCTTAAATTTAGTCTTTTTTTAGATAATCCTCCTTAAATTTTGTCAGATAACTCTCAACTAACGTCATCTGATCTGATTTTCAATACGTAATTCATGTACGTCCAAATAATTACAATGCCACTGATGAGAAAGAAACCCCTTCGTATCCTTTTCAATAATTTAATGGTAATTTTCACAAAAACGAACCTCGAGTTCGATGCCAATTTTTAGGATTTTGTTCTGAAATGGAGGAGGGAGGGTGTTAGGATTTTGTTCAAGGTTTGTGGAGTCCAATTAAAATAAGTTTGGCATTTACCTGTAGATTCTTAAAAAATAATGGTAAAACAACCATTGGTTATATTATTATTATTATAGTCTATAGTCTATAAATCTATAATAAAATGACTCAAGTTTATATATGCTTGACATGTCATTGGACATATAGATCTTCAAGTATATGAACGTGGGTAGGTCGTTAAACGTGACCAAGTCAAAAAAATTCAAAAAAAAAAAAAAAATCAACCTTAGAAAACAAACGTTGTAGAATCATCCACGTTCAAAATTCAAAAACTCACAAGCACACACTCCCACCCTCCCCTACGTCCTAGGAAGTGGGCGTCGTGGGAGATAAACACCCCATTTATACCTACAAACTCAAAATAAAATGGAGAAAACAGGTGATTTAATTCATTAAACAGTCAACTGAACCGAACAATGCAAGAGCAAAATCACCACCATCATCATCATCAGTGTGCAGGTTCCTTCATGAGGAAAGGGCCATGGATGGCGGAAGAGGATGAGATCCTCTTGGATTATGTAAAGAAGCATGGACCTAGAGATTGGAGCTCCATTCGATCCAAAGGCCTCTTGCCGAGGACTGGCAAGTCCTGTCGCCTTCGCTGGGTTAACAAACTCAAACCCGACTTAAAGACGTAGGCATCGCATAATCCTCGATAGTAATACTAATGCGCGAGTTCGCTTCTTTGTGTTTGCATCGTCGACAGAGATTTGAATTTGCTGCATTTGCGGCGGCTTTTTTTAAGTTCTTCAGTGTTTACTGTCTACTGTTTTCAGTTTATGGTATAGCAAAATGATGAATGCTTTTAATTGGTATTGATGCATGTTCTTGTACTAGGCCACTTCCAACCTGCATAGTGATGTTCTTCCTGAGTTAATACTTCTCTTGTGCTCATAATCTTGATTATTGCAAGTTTTCATTTTTATCGATCACTCGTGTTTATGCAATCGTGTTCCTACTCCAAACCGATAATTTGTGGGTTTATCTGCTTCAAATCAGAAAATATCATGTAATCATGTATACCTTCTTGATTGCTTGATTAATGTACTCTCTTGTTCAATTTTCTGTGGTTTGTGTGAAGCGGATGCAAGTTCTCACCTGAAGAAGAGAGAATAGTGATAGAACTGCAAGCAAGGTTTGGGAACAAATGGGCAAGGATCGCAACATATTTGCCAGGGAGAACCGATAATGATGTGAAGAACTTTTGGAGCACGAGGCAGAAGAGACTTGCAAGGAGCCTGCAAAAACCTCTGCCTTCGAAATCTAACAAGAACCAAGGCGAAATTCCTAGCCTTACCGATGAATCTCCAACCTTTGAGGTAACATATCATTCCACGGTATTTTCTTTTTTTCATTTTTGGAGATATAAATCGAAGAGGGGTTGGATAGGGGTTTTCTCATATTAGAACCTAAACTCTTTTTGTATTACGTCCACAATCTTTACTTTTGTAAATTATACTTCCAAATATTCCTATTTTTTTCGAAACAACTACATGAATTAGGGGGCTTAAATTTTAAGCATGGGGCGTTATTCGAAGCAACTTGATGGATTTAGAGGTATATATGAAGCACCCTTTTCAAATATTAAACTGACTTATAACATCAAACTTGGACGTGCCACGTACTAATTTTGCGATAATTTCTATGTTAATCTCTGTCAGGTTTCCTTACTTGATCTGTATTCGTTTGAAGAAGAGTCTCAGAGCATCCAAGACAGTCAGACTTCCTATACTGACAATCAAGACGCTGCAACGATGATTCAAACACGAAGCCTACCGCCGAACCAAGATCTAACTAGCCCACACAACTTAACTCCTCCACTCATCGAACCATTGGAATGGAAACCGCCCACACAACTAGACTTCGAGCATTTCTCAGACTCAGCGTTGGATTTTCCCCTCTTATTTGATACTCCTGAACTCATCCCAGGACACGGGAGCACGAGCTTTCAACAAAAATTTGCTTGGCAGGACAAAGATTCGAGTTTCATGCAGCTCCCCGAGAGTCTGCCACCTTTTGACAAGAATAATATTAAGATTGAAAGGGATTTGGGGACTCAATATAGTTTCGATGATTTTCCAGTAGATATGTTTGATTATGCAGATCAGCCTGGGCCACCAACTTCACCTGCTGCATGGTAGAACTTTTTTTAGAGAGATTTGATGTTTGTTATTGTTATATTGTTTTGGAGATGAACTTAAATGATTACCGTATGAATGATGCTTTTCTTTCCGCAGGATGATAAGTAAGTATTTCTACAGCTTTTAATAGTTGATGACTCTGTTTCCTTTAAAAAAATATTCAGGGTTCTTGAAAGATGGATAATACTTTCTCGAGATTTGGGAGCAAGATTGAAGTATGGATCAATATTGGACAATGCAATGAGGAACTTATTAAGATTCTTACAATCCCAGTTTACGTTCAAAATGCTAAAACAATGCTCCAACTATACAATATCCACAATCAATACTTTGGAGAATTTTATACGCCACCAGAAAAAGGAAAAAAGAAATTATGCTATCTAAATTTGCCTAATAAAAAATCAGCTATATTCACATCTGAACGTCGATTCTGAACAACCATTACCTCTAATAGTCGCAAATAATCTCTCAAAATTCATCTCCATATGGTTTCGTTTGCATCTGTGAATATGGGATTGTGATGCTCAATGAGACACTGGATAACCTCAATGGCACTGTAATCAGGAGGTGAACCGTCATCCAGAGGAATTTGTGATGAAGTATCAAAACTATCATCGTCATCTGCAAAATAAAAAAAGATATTTAGAAAAACAACATTCAATTTCTGTAACATTGACTGGCATCAAAACTAACTATCATAATCATCTGCTGTCTTGTTGTTCTATGGTAAACTGCAAAGCAAATGAATTTTATTTATTTTTTGTGTTCCTTTTTCAACTAGAAGGTCATTCAGATTCAACTTTCATTTATACTTCCATGGATCTCAATTTCTTTGGACTCAGTACTACTTCTGTGGATCTCAACTTCTTTGAACTCAGTACAGCTGACAAGCAGACTCCCAGGTTTAGGTAGTTCCGTGATTATCACAGTTAGCGTTTCATGCTGGTTGTAGAATCGTACCATGTCTCGGTCATTCCTCAGCTATCTTCCCCAGAAACAACTATCATTCATATCCTTCTTACTTCCGTATAACATACCTCACTCATGTCAGCATGCAGCCTCAGCCTCAATTGTTGAAAATTAATTGGAGCGGGCCCCACCTCACTTCAAATCACCGAAAGCAGCAGCCATCTTTGAAGTTTTGAAAAGAAAACAAAATGGCAGGGCCGACTGCTACAGTAAAATATTAATATTTTATTATACATAGTATTTTTCTAAAAACTATAAATAGGGCTCCAAATCCTTAAGAAAATCTCATCCCAGAAACAACTTCTTACATAGAAGAGTGAGAGAGAAAAAATAGAGAGAGTTTCTTCTTGCAAAAGAGAGAGAGTTTGTAACTCCAGAGTTTTCTCCTCATAGTGAATTCTTCTATCCTTGCCCGTGGACGTAGGCAATCAAGTGCCGAACCATGTAAATTTGTGTGTCTAACATTTTATCTCTACTTTTGCTCTACTATTGCTGCGACCCTGCTCTATTGGGCTCCGGGTTTGTCCTAACAAGTGGTATCAGAGCCAACTTAGGGTACTTGTATATATCTACTTATCGTATGCTCTGTGGCTGCCACCAAAGATGGATCCTCCACATCAGAAAATAAGTTAGGTTATCACTTACCCTTTGGAGGTGACAGGTACTATTCACGAGTACGGTACTGTTCACAAATACGGTACTATTCATAAGCACGGCACTATTCACGAATACGGTTACTGTTCATAAATACAGTACTATTTACGTGAAATAGTAAGAAGTTACTGTTCGTGGTAGAAGCAATGGCGGCGAAGTTCAAGATCGAGAAATTCGACGGGAGTAATTTCTCACTGTGAAAGTTGAAGATAAAGACTATCTTGAGAAAAGATAATTGCCTGGCGGCCATTGGTGCAAGGCCGGACGACATCACAGATGATAAAAAGTGGAACGAGATGGATGAAAATGCTATTGCAAATCTCCATCTGGCATTAGCAGACGGGGTGCTGTCAAGCATAGAGGAGAAGAAGACAGCAAAGAAGATCTGGGATACTCTAACAAAGCTATATGAGGCGAAATCCATGCACAATAAAATCTTCTTAAAAAGGAGACTTTACACTCTGAGGATGGCGGAATCTACATCGATGACCGATCACATCAACACCCTAAACACACTGTTCTCCAAACTCATAACGTTGGGGTATACAGTTGGTGCGAATAAACGTGCATAACTTCTACTTCAGAGTCTACTTGACTCGTATGATCAGCTCATTATCAATCTCACAAACAACATCCTTACGAGTCTTCGACGATGTTGCAGCCGCTGTTCTGGAGGAAGAAAATCGGCGCAAGAACAAGGAAGACAGACAGACAAGTTCGCAGCAAGCGGAGGCCTTGTCGGTGACGAGAGGAAGATCAACAGAACGTGGCTCCAGTGGGAGTCATGCCCATGGTAGATCGAAATCACGAAGTAAGAAGAATATCAAATGCTACAACTGTGGCAAAAGAGGGCACGTCAAATCGGAGTATTGGCACAACAAGAAGAGTGGAGATAAAAAGTCTTCAGAGCCATCAACATCTCAAGGATGCGTTGTCAGCACGTCAGAGGATGATAAAATTCTATTTAGTGGAGCAACCACTGTTGATGAAGGCAGAAAGAAGTTTGCTGATGTCTAGCTTCTAGATTCAGCAGCCTCTTGGCACATGACCTCTCGGAGAGATTGGTTTCACAAATATGAACCTATCTCAGGAGGATCTGTATTCATGGGGAATGATCATGCCTTGGAGATTTGCGGTATTGGTACTATCAAAATCAAAATGTTTGATGGTATAATACGCACCATTCAAGATGTGCGACATGTGAAGGGCTTGAAGAAGAATCTATTGTCTTTGGGACAATTAGATGAGCTCGGGTGCAAGACTCATATAGAAAATGGAGTCATGAAGATTGTTAGAGGGGCGCTTGTGGTGATAAAAGGAGAAAAGATAGCTGCAAATCTGTACATGCTCAAGGGAGAGACTCTGCAGGAAGCTGATTCATGTGTGGCATCAACCAGCCGTGGAGAAGAACAAACCATGATGTGGCATCGCAAGCTAGGCCACATGTCAGAACGAGGCTTGAAGGTTCTCTCCGATCAGAAACTGCTTCCTGGACTTAATTCGGTAGCTCTTCCATTTTGCGAGCATTGTGTTACAAGCAAGCAGCATCGACTGAAGTTCAACACATCGAGTTCTAGAAGCAAGGCTATTCTGGAACTGGTTCATTCTGATGTATGGCAAGCACCAGTTACATCCTTAGGAGGAGCAAAGTACTTTGTATCCCTTATTGATGATTACTCCAGGAGATGTTGGGTGTATCCTATCAAGAAGAATGCGGATGTGTTCTCGGTCTTTAAAGCCTACAAAGCGCGGGTCGAGCTTGAATCTGAGAAGAAGATCAAGTGTTTGAGGTCAGATAATGGAGGAGAATACACAGACGGTGAATTCTTAGCATTCTGCAAGCAAGAAGGCATTAAAAGACAATTCAGTACGGCTTATACTCCACAACAAAATGGAATGACGGAGCGGATGAACATAACTCTATTGGAAAGAACAAGAGCTATGTTGACAACTGCAACTCTGGAAAAAGTCTTTTGGGCGGAAGCAGTAAAAACCGCTTGCTATGTGGTGAATCGATCTCCATCAACTGCAATACAATTGAAGACGCCAATGAAGATGTGGACTGACAAGCCAGCTGATTATTCCAACCTCCATATATTTGGATGTCCAGTGTACGTAATGTACAATGCCCAAGAAATTACAAAACTGGAATCAAAATCCAGAAAATACATATTCTTGGAGTATGCTGATGGAGTAAAGGGGTATCGCCTGTGGGATCCCACTGCCCACAAGATTATCATCAGCAGAGATGTTATCTTTGTAGAGAACCAACTACAAAGTGAAGAGAAAGAAAGCAGTTCGAGGAAGGACTCAGAGACTGTAGCTGTTCAGGTAGAAGATAATCCGAATTCTTCTGAAGCAACACCGGAGCATGATGTACAAGAACCGGTCGAGTCCGAGGCTCCAGAAGTTCGAAGGTCAACTCGTGAGAGAAGACCACCGACTTGGCACTCGGAGTATATTACGGAAAGTAATGTTGCATACTGTCTTCTAACAGAAGATGAAGAACCATCAACTTTTCATGAAGCTATAAATAGCACAGATGCATCTTTGTGGATGGCAGCAATGCAGGAAGAAATTAAAGCTCTCCATAAGAACAAGACTTGAGAACTTGTGTCACTGCCACAAGGAAGAAAGACCATTGGAAACAAATGGGTCTACAAGATCAAGCGAAACGGCGATGATCAGGTGGAGCGATATCGTGCTAGATTGGTGGTAAAAGGATATGCTCAGAAAGAAGATATTGATTTTAATAAAATATTTTCTCCTGTAGTTCGACTAACAACAGTCCGAATAGTCCTGGCTATGAGTGCTATATTTGACTTATATCTAGAGCAGCTAGATGTGAAAACAATATTTCTTCATGGAGATCTTGAAGAAGAAATTTACATGCTCCAACCAGAAGGTTTTGAAGAAAAAGAAAAAGAGAACTTGATTTGCAGATTGAACAAATCTCTGTACGGTCTAAAGCAGGCGCCGAGGTGTTGGTATAAGAGATTTGATTCATTCATCATGAGTCTTGGATACAACAGACTTAATTCAGACCCTTATGCATATTTCAAGAGGTTTGGTGAAAATAACTTTGTTATCTTATTGTTGCATGTTGACGACATGTTGGTTGCAGGCCCCAACAAAGATCGTATCAAAGAATTAAAGGCTCAGTTGGCTAGGGAATTTGAAATGAATGATTTAGGATCTGCAAACAAGATTCTAGGGATGCAAATTTACCGAGACAGAGTTAATAGGAAGATTTGGCTTTCTCAGAAGAACTATTTGAAGAAAATCTTACGGCGTTTTAACATACAAGATTATAAGTCAATTTCTACCCCACTTCCTGTTAATTTCAAGTTATCCTCCAGTATGAGTCCTAGCAGTGAAGAAGAGAAGATGGAGATGTCTCGAGTACCGTATGCATCAGCAGTGGGAAGCTTAATGTTCGCGATGATTTGTACAAGACCAGACATTGCACAAGCAGTGGGAGTGGTTAGTCGATACATGGCGAATCCTGGTAAAGAGCATTGGAATGCTGTAAAGAGGGTTCTAAGATACATTCAAGGAACCTCAAATGTTGCATTATGTTATGGGGGATCTGATTTTATTGTCAGTGGATATGTTGATTCTGATTATGCAGGTGATCGTGATAATAGCAAATCCACCACAGGTTATGTGTTTGCACTTGCTGGCGGAGCTGTAAGCTGGGTTTCAAAACTGCAGTCAGTTGTGGCTACTTCAACAACAGAAGCAGAGTATGTAGCAGCTACACAAGCCAGTAAAGAAGCGATGTGGTTGAAGATGGTGCTGGAGGAACTCGACTATGAACAAAAGAAGATTTCTCTATTTTGTGACAGTCAGAGTGCTTTGCATTTGGCAAGAAATCCAGTCTTTCATTCAAAAACCAAGCACATTCAAGTTCAGTATCACTTCGTTCGTGAGAAAGTGGAAGAAGGAACAGTGGATATGCAGAAAATTCACACCAAAGACAACCTAGCAGATTTTTTGACAAAAACAGTCAATACTGACAAATTCATTTGGTGTCGATCCTCCTGTGGTCTGTCTGAGACGTAAGCAACATGAAGATGGCAAGATAGAAAGAATGATGTGAAGATATGATTGATACTCAATCAAATCTTCAAATGGGAGATTGTGAGCATGCAGCCTCAGCCTCAATTGTTGAAAATTAATTGGAACGGGCCCCACCTCACTTCAAATCACCGAAAGCAGCAGCCATCTTTGAAGTTTTGAAAAGAAAACAAAATGGCGGGGCCCACTGCTACAGTAAAATATTAATATTTTATTATGCATAATATTTTTCTAAAAACTATAAATAGGGCTCCAAATCCTTAAGAAAATCTCATCCCAGAAACAACTTCTTACATAGAAGAGTGAGAGAGAAAAAATAGAGAGTTTCTTCTTACAAAAGAGAGAGTTTGTAACTCCAGAGTTTTCTCCTCATAGTGAATTCTTCTATCATTGCCCGTGGACGTAGGCAATCAAGTGCCGAACCACGTAAATTTGTGTGTCCAACATTTTATCTCTACTTTTGCTCTACTATTGCTGCGACCCTGCTCTATTAGGCCCCGGGTTTGTCCTAACAACTCACTCATTATTGAGATGATCCAAGCTGATCTAACGTAAAAATAGTTAACATAGATATTTGTTTTCATATTTTCAATTCCAATGAAAAAAATGATATTGATGGGTGTTTATTTGGAATGGGTATTTGTTAAATCATAATATTATCACAATATTCGTCCAACAACATTAAGCATGTGTAACAAGAAGTATACTTTCCTATATCTACCACTAATCAGGATGAAAGAAAGATTGTAGAACTTAAAAGTTGGTTGAATGTTCTTTACATTTTACCTGTGTTTCTCCCATGTAAGGATTAGTCTTCAGAAGTAAAAATAAATTAATTCTGACTTAAGAAGAACAGTTAGTACACTTCATTTATCTGGCATTAGTCAGGACAAAAGAAAGATGGTAGAAGTCAAAAATTGGTTGAATGTTCTTTACATTCAGACCGTGTTTTCTCCCATATAAGGATTATACTTTTTAAGAAAAACCAATTTATTTTTACTTGTTCAACTTAAGTAGAACAAGTCCAAAACTCATAATAAGACATGAAAACAATCTACTTTTACTTCCATATAAGGATTAGACTTTAGAAGTAAAAATAATCTACTTTTACTTCTTCAACCTAAGTAGAACAGGCCCAAAACTCATAATAGGACACGAAAACAAAATAACTATATATTTTAAACATGGGAGAACATGTGGTGCTCAAGTTTATAAACGTTGTCTGATTATTATATTTTTGTTAATATTATTACAATAAGGTTTCAAAGATGAAGTTTGCGCAGCCCATCAGTTGCACCGACATAATATTTTCTGATTAATTCACATCTTAAACTGGCCATTTCAAATTGAAGGTGACAATTCGTTCACAGTCCCAATCATCTTCCAAAATGGTGGGTGCCCATTTATTCTTGCTAAGGAGGCATTGATGAAATTGCAAAAGAAGCCTTCATGACCCTACACTTACACAGAGAGCCTGATTCATTTATATTGGAACAACTTATTCTATTTGTCCTGTTCTTCTTCTCATCCGCTCTCCTAAATTATATGAGCAAGTCCAGCAAGTCTCTACAGAATGCAGAATTCTGACAATTATAGTTGTAAATTATATCAAATTAATATGTCTTTGTACCTTCAAAAGTGTGTTACCTACAAATGTAGCTAAGTCTACACAAACAGGAGCAACTGCATTTAAAAAATCATTTTACAAAAAAAGGTATAATCTCTTTCTTTAAGGTTTTGGGCAAAAAGGGCAAAAACTTTTTCCCCCTTTTCCAGAATTTAGCACTCTACCTCCATTTATCTTTTTCGCCATCTCATTTACATCTTCTAGTCCATAGATATGTCATTCAATAAAGTATCTCAGCTCATACTAGGACTTCATGGACCACAAGCAAAACTTTCACTTTGACTTTTCTGTGAACTATTTCCTGCTTATGGAGCCACTTCAAGAGGATTCATTTGCATATAGGTTTTAAAAATATCTACATTGGACTTAATAGAGAGATTTACTTATCCTACTCAGAATACCTTTTTAAATTTAGATCGTGCATATTCTGATGAGCATTCTCACAGAAGGTCAAAAATTAGTTAATGCTCCTTCTCACATATGCACCAGCCAATAATCAATATTGCACTTATGGATGCATGAGCAAACTTATCTGTAGGAATAGCTGATATGCGGCGCCAATTGAAAATAGGGGTTCCCCCTAGAAACCACCTTAAAAATAGGGTATTTACAAAAGACCACCTTTCAATTTTAATTTATACATAAAACACCTTTAAAGTGGTTTATTTTTTTGGCAATCAACAACCTCCTAGTCAAACTTTTCATTAAAATCCCAAAATTACCCTTTAAAACCTCACATTCAAGGCACGTGATTTTAGTGTTTAGGTCTAGTTAGGATACAACTCACATACCTTGAACTTGAATGTTTTAAGGTTCCTTTTGGGTTTTTAGTGAAAATTTGACTTGAGGTAGTTGGTTGCTACAAAAACATATTTTAAAGGTGGTTTGTGTATAAAATGAAATTGAAAGGTGGTCTCAGTATGAGTACGCTATTTTTAAGGTGGTTTCTATGGGGGAAAAATTAAAAATATTAACATGATGTTTCGAGCTATTATATCTATCAAAATAAAGGAGTATCCTATCTTACCCAATAGGTAATCACTGGTGTTGTAATTAGATGCCAAATCAGCTGTCTTGGGAGGACCTTTTGTATAATAAATGTGGCTACAGTAGTCTGCTCTTGAATCACCTTTCTGCCTCATTAGAACTGGTGTCAGTTCCACGGCCAGACTGGAAGCATCCATCTGCATATCAATAATTTGCTAATTTAGATCTTATTTATCCTAAAAGATAATGTTTACTGTTAGCAAATCCCATGATAAAAGAGAGCATAGGGTAGCCCCAAGTAAGATGATGATACCATCTCAGCTTCATAAACAAAATTCATGTCTTATTGTACCAGACTCATAAGATAACATCAAGCCTCCACTCAGCTGCAAGTGATTGGCCTTATGAATGTTATTCGTTATCAATCTATTAAGGACCTGAATTCCTGATTCACCGAGGGGGAAAACCCCTCGACTGAAGCTATCCAATGCAATACACCATTATGATTTATTTGCCATTATCACAAGAGGATTTCATCTTTTCAAGAAACAGAAAGAAAAACTTCTCAAAAAACAGAAAGAAAAAAGACGGCTAAATACACAGCACAAGCATTGCATAGCCAGAAGGATGGTGCTCCTGGTACAATGGGACATCATAGAACATATAGGCAAAAAATAAAATTAAAATAGCTTAAAAACTTATATATAACCAATTAAAGATGAGAAAAAGAATCTTATCTAGTCCCACCAAAATTTTACATGCATTCTACACCGTATCTTGCATAACCGTAACATGTATAAGAGACTATCCAACAGTATTTTGGTTTACATTTTGCATCTTATCAAAACTTGTCCTCTGTCAATCCACAATTTTGAAGGGGTAATGCAAAACCAAGGCAACAAGGTCGTACATCAAAGATGTGAGAGCTACCTATGCTATTGCTCAAGTGAATTGGGGCACCAAATGTTCAAAACATTATTTACAGCTATTTCTGAATAGTGAACATGTGCAAAATATTTTGTTCGCGATTCATATATAAATGACATGAACAAAAAATCAAAAATAACAAATGAAGGCATGGGCATACAGAAATGTAAACTGGATAAAAACCACAGAGATGTAAATTAATACATGGATTCATGAAATGAGCAAAAAGACCACAAAGCCATAAACTAATTCATTACTAGATGACAAAGAAGTCAAAAGTCATAATTATTTGGACAATGGATAGTGCAGCAGATTACATTCTACCAGTCCAGCAAAAGATGAGAATAATAAGTGAAGCCACGGACATACAGATATGTAAAATGAACACATAACACAAAGCTATAAAAAATTTAATACATTGGAAAATAAAATAAATTAACAAGGACATATACTATGAGCGCATATCCACTGAGCCATAAACTAATTCATTACTAGAAGAGAAAGAAGAAATCAGTGACCACAAATTATTCAAGTGGACGGTGTAGCAAAATAGATTTAACCAATCCAACAAAAGACAAAACGTAGATTCATTTTATTCAGTCCATCCATTAGCGAAATACAAGCAAGAAGGAAAGAGTCAGATTATGTTCATAACTAGTGATATTACTACAAAATAGTTGAACATTTAGGCTAACATTAAATGTGTTTTTGAACAACTTGGTATCATCGCAAAACAACTAGCAACTAATAAGCAAACATAGATTGGATATTGTTAAAGAAACCAGGTAGCTTACACATGAAAGACAGCAGCTGAATTCTTTTACCAGTAACCTATGTGATCTTTTGATGTGTTCAGTAACAAATTTAATTCAAAAACTTGAATTGAATCATCTTCGATCATCATTCTCTTCTTCAAGCTGACCAGCTACTGATTAATGTTTTGACTGCATTTAGATAAGATAGCTACGATGTAGCTGTTATCGGTTATTAGATAAGGAGGGAGGGAGAAAGCAAGTGATTTGAGTTTTCTTGGTCATTAGTCATTACGATAAAGAGAGTTGCCAAGAGTTGGGATGTAAGCAATAAGTTTGAGGTCGAGTGCAATACCAAGCTTTTACAATGATTGTTAGCTAACGATGTATGTGGTTTCATGAGTGGTGGTGTGGTGTATAAGTACCTACCAGCCTCCAAGGTCATTCTTAAACACCAACTCTAGTGGTATTTGGGACATCTAACAAGGGTTTCTGTCTACTGTTGGAGCCAAACAGGGTCTTAGTTCCTTATTTCTTCATGGGTGCGCACACGGAGTCAATCTATGCAATGGATACATTTACAACAGGTTTCACTGCAATAAGCTGCAAAGACTTGGCAGCAAAGTTACAATCTAATAAAAAACAAGGTCTTATCACCCCGAAGAGATGAGCATCATGAGTATAGTCATACAAATGTATATAAAACGTGTTCATTAGAATAGAATAAGAAAGGATTATTCACCTTGTTTACAGATGCCTTTTGGCTCACCCGAAGCAAGTTCATTAGAATAGAATAAGAAAGGATTATTCACCTTGTTTACAGATGCCTTTTGGCTCACCCGAAGCAACAGAGCAGTAACAAATTCCAGTGTCATGTTTCACCTTGTTTACAGATGCCTTTTGGCTCACCCGAAGCAACAGAGCAGTAACAAATTCCAGTGTCATGTAATTTGCATTTGGAAGCTTCTTCAGAACATTTCTCATGTCTCGAATACTGCTTCTGGCATCTCTAATTTCATCATAAAGTGCAAAAGTGGTCAGTGGCTCAGGAAGGCTAGCAAGATAGCATTTTATCAATGCTGCCACATCAATTGCGCTTACACCATCTGGCAACTGTGCATTCCAGTCTGCAATTAAATTGTACCATTATAACCACTATTATGATCACAGAAGATAGAAACAGAGTCATACCTTGGTTGTAGATTGAAATTAACTGCCGAATTACTTTTCTATCCCCTTCGTCTTTAAACAAGTACTCAGAGTGTATACCTAGAAAAAGCAATTTTGGTATAAGATTTCTTAGTAGTCAATATTCTACTCAGTAGCTTAACTTCTGTATGTTAAAAGGTGAAAACCATTTTGATCACTTAATATCTGTTTTCACCTGATATTATTAAATGATCTGCACATCGTACCAAGACTTGAGGAACAGGCCTAGTAGACTGTTGACGTTGTATGATAATCTCAAGTGGGACACCAAATACTGCAAAAAAATACCATATCTTCAGAGACTATTTTCTTCAAGAACAAACAACAAGATTAATACAGCCATAAAATTTAGTTAGCAACATCTTAGTGCAATGTGTCATCACCCATCTAGAAAAGCAGAATACCCGCTAGTGAACCTTTCTGCAAGCAACTTACTGAAAAATATCATATGGTTCAGAGACTATTTTCTTCAAGAACAAACAATAAGATTAATATGGCCATAAAATTAAGTTAGTAACATCCTGATGCAATGTGTCATCACCCATCTAGAAAGTCAGAAGTTGCTATTGTTAATGTAAGAAGAAATCCAGGAAAATACATAGACAACATACACAGCGATCAGTGCATGAAATTCTGCAACAAGAGAAGGATCGAATAGAAATGAAACAGTGAAAACTATAGTAACCAGCAATTAATTCCTCAGCCTAGCAGACAGTAGGAAGAACTTGGGGTCAATAAGGCCACAGGACTCACATCTGAGCCCTCAAGTCCATACCACTCGAGAACAATTCCAAGTCAATGTGATAGAAGTTCAAGTACCATATGCTTTAGATAGAAGTCTAAACAATAGTAATTAAAGTGGCCTTGGTTTAAGTTTTGAATTAATTAATTTAATTCTAAAGTAATGGCTATATTTTGTGTAGTTGATGAGACATGACAGGGTTTAATCTTGAAAGAGGAACACTCAGAATCACAAGGATATAGAGATATAATCCACATTGATGGCAACGAAATACAGTAGTGAAACTTTCTGCAAGCTATGTAAGGAAACAGAGATACATCTCACAGGACTGAGAAGGATGTTGTTGGCAGATCAGGAAACATATGTTTCTGGAACCGTGTAATTGTAGGATAACTATCAAGTACAAGGAAATAAGTTTACGATTGCCTTACAACCTGCCACACTTTATGGGCCAAAGAAAGATGGAGACAGAAGTATGCACAAAAATAAGTGTCACTAAAATATGAATTTCAGGATGAATGAGCAGAAGTATACTATAAGATGGAGTAAAGATTGATTGCATTTGTAAAACATAGAGATAGCTAAACTTGAGGCTAAGATGAAGAGAATTGTCTGAGATGCTTTGAAGTTTGAACATGCAGCAGATACTCATAAGTATGCCAATAAAGAGTCATTTAGACATAGGAGTGATGATATGATAGTTCAAGAGAGATAACCATAAGGGCTAGCTAAGTTCAAATGACGAGATTAGAGCACATAACCTCCCATTTATAGAGAGTTCAGTACAGATCTAGGTGAGCTTAGTTGGTGTATTTATTGTAATGACCCTACGAATACAATTCACAAAAAGCTTAACAGTTCCGATAGAAGCTGATATGTAGAAACAAAACACGGAAATAAATAAGAAAACAATACTTCACACAATATAGGCAAGATATATAGAAGAAAACAGGAGCTCATTGATCATTTAAATTTATAATATAACTATTAAGATTGTAGAGAACTCACCATCGTTACTCGCTACTCCCTACAAGATGCAAAAGAGTATAAGAATCTACAACAATAAACAGGATCAAATAGAGTTACAGTTTATGCGGGACAAGTAACACACCTTTTGCCATCGTTCAATATTAGTCAAGAAGCTCTTGCTCTTATCTGCAGTTTTTTTCGCTGCCTGAAAAAGTGATACTATTAGATGAAGTTCAGAGAGGAAAAGTTTTCAGTCTTGACGGTTTCAAAAGGGGAAAATACAGAATACAAAGGAATATAAAGAAGATAGGTCAAAGGAAGGAGCGTCTACTGCTGCTTACAAAGAGATATTTTCAAAAAAAGGGCCTTGCACGTAGAAATGTAACCAGAACTCAATAGAAATAATAGATTCTTAAGATTTTTGGCCTCAGCGGACTCTTAACAAAGTAGAAACATCAGGAGTACAAAGAGAAAGATAACAGATACATGATAAAGAAGAAAGTCAAAGTGTGAATCCTGAGATAAATAATTTTCTCATTTTAGTAACAAAAAATAAAATATTCCAATTGACAAGCACGGAAGTTTATGATTTATTTAAAAAATTTAAAGTCCCCGCCATTGCAACAAAACTTCAAAGTTGTGATGAGGGTTAAGAGATATAGTTATATTCTAACATGCCCCCAAAGTTGAGAGCCTTTTGTTTTTTAAATTGAAACCTAGACTCATACTGTAGTATCAAATTATTTTAAATTTCGCATTAATTCGTAGTGGATTCGAACCTGTGTTGGTCTAGTACCAACTTAAAGTCTCTGCCACTGCACCGAAACATTGAAAGCTGTAGTGAGGGTTAAGGGATATGATTTTATATTCTAAGAAAATAGGTGAGAAACCTGTAGTTTATCTCATCAGATCCAAGTCAATAAATCAAACAAGTAATTCACCATTTTTATGCATAATGTAACATACAATGTAGGAACTGTATGCCATCGAGCCTTTTAGGCCTCATCGTCGAGAAAATTTTACAAAAATGTCTTTGCACATAGAGAATGTAATTAAAACTCAATAAAAATAATAGACTCTTTAAGATTTTTGGCCCCACCTGACTTCAAACAAAGTAGAAAGTATATAGAGAGAAAGCTGACGAATGATAAAAGAAAAAGGTCAGTGTATATCCCAAGATAAATAATTTTTATCCCAAGATAAATAATTTTCTCCTTCTATGAAAAAAAACTAAAACATTTAAATTGACAAGCACTAAAGTTTACGATTGATTGAATAGTTGGGGAAGCCAACTATTCATCTTATCAGATCCAAGTCATTAAATCAAACAAGTAATCCACCATCTATAAGCATAATGTAACATACAATGTAGGAAATGTATTCAGTCGAGTCTTTTGGACTTTTCTTATTGGATTGAACTCTATGTATCAATTTATTTGGATTATGTTGATCCACAAAGAGAGCATACAATCTTATCGGTTGTTTGGGATGATCTACCTCTCTAAAAATGTCACAGCTGGTTCCCATCAATATCTGGCATCACTTCTTGAACATCATGTGTATGATACTTTCTTGCATGCACACATGCATTAGTCTATATCTATGAAGCACGCACACGGACACGGCGACACGGACACGACACGGACACGGACACGGCAAAACCCAAAAAAATAGGGCACGGCGACACGGCTAGATTTTTTTAATATTATTATATATATAGATAAATTTATAAAATTCAAACAACAAACTAAAATGTAATCCTCAAACACAAAATGCTAAGCTACTAACAAGTCTAACATTGCAAACATATAAAAATTACAAGAGAATAAATATCAAGTTGCAACTAGTTCCATGGCTAAAAATATTAAGTTACTAACATTGCAAAAATATAAAAATTACAATCAAAAGCGTATCTTAAAATAAACTTTTCAAGTTGAAACATCAAAAAGATCGTTCTATGGATTCAACTCCATCATCCTCCTCAAACACAACGGCCTCCATCGTGGCCTCGTCAAGAGAAAGGGCAGCAACACCTAAAATGTCGGCACCTTGAAATGAGTCGAAGGCATCTCCACCAATATACCACATTCTTGATTCCTCTTCCATATACTCTTCCGAACTTCGCGAAAGCGAAAGGTTGATGTGAACATAAACAAGATCCTCTGCACGTACCGGGGTTAGCTTGTTCCTCTTTAAGGAGTAAAATTAGAGAGACGGATTTAGAGAGAGAAAGAGAATCAGAAAGAGAGAGAGACGAAGAGATCCAGAGAGAGACGAAGAGATCGGGAGATCGAGAGAGAGAGAGAGAGAGACTGACCTAGCAGCGACGAGCTGACGAGGACGAGCTGACGAGGACGAGCCGACGAGGACGAGGACGAGACGATCTCGAGAGAGAGAGAGAGAGACGAAGGGATTGTGGTGGCGTCGGGACTCTGGTAAGTGAAGAAATTAGGGTTTGGGTTTCGGGTTTTTCTTTTTTGTTCGCGAATCCCAGCTGTGTCGGGAACGAGTCGGGGGCGTATCGGGGCGTTGACGCGTGTCGGGGGCATTGACCGCGTGTCGAACTCATGTCCACGTCCGACACGCGTCGGACATGGACTCGAGGCCAAGTTTCGCGTGTCGGTGCTTCATAGGTGTATATAAGCAAAATTACGCTATTTTGAATAATAATAGATTTCAAACTTAACTAAGATATTTCTGGCTACTAATTTGTTCCTACATAGCTTTTGGTTTATTCGAAAATACATCGACAGCAAGGTTTCACAAAAATGAAACAAACTAACGCTCAATATTGATGAATGTAATGTTTTCTATCCCCCATAAATTTATATCACGGAAATATAGAAGATCACAACATGGTTTCTTTTTGAAAGCATGGGTTTGTAAGAAATTCCGTTTGACCGGTTTGTGTTAGAGGTTACTAACTAGTTCATCACGATAAGTTTTCACAACTCAGAAAAAGAGCGAGCATATGACGAGACGACATTGTTTAATGCTCAATTTTGACCATGTAAAGGTGCTCTTTCTCAATAATAAAGGGAGATTAGCTTTAGGAGATGGAAGCTACAATGGAAGACAGTAGTGGTAGCTTCATCAGTCAATACTTGAGTGAAAACTGAGGAGGCAGAGATGGCCACATTGGTAGGGAGAGAGTTAGTGGGGTCCTTCGAATGCCTCCAAAAGAAGATGCCACAACGTCGAATATGCTTCAGAGAGCAAGGAACGAAGAAGAGGGGCGGGAGAATGTGAGGGAGTGTCCGATGTTTACCCATGGAAGGTATCATATAGATCCACAGGTGGCGAGTTAGCTCAATCTTGACCTGTCAGGAGGGTGAGGAGATTAGCTAAGATTAAATTAATGCAACGAAATATTGTACGTGAAAATGGCAAATAATTCAGCCTACTTTCCATTCGGATATTTTATGCAACAAAATATTATACCTAAAAAATTATTGTTTACATTGAAATATTATATATGGAATGATTGTTTAATGTTTACAAAACAGAAAAGAATAATCCCAATTTCAAAAGTAAGGTTATATTAATGCTAACTAGCTCCCAAAAAAATAATGACGTCGATCTTAAAAATGACATTTACAAAATCTCCTGACAATTTGCCATTTTCTTTTTGAGAATTTATCAGTGTGCTATTACAAAGTATAAATGACAGATACAGTAATTATTAGCTTTTTTCACAATAATTGAGACTAGATTTGAAGATATTAAAGAAATAAGAAATTGTGAATAAAATTAGGTAAGTTATTAATCAAATAGACTATGTGTTTGATATAGTTTGTCTATTCTACAATCTAAAATCTAATAGAGAGAGAAATATATATTACTTAAAACAATTATGAGGTGCTAATTCCAAACTATTCTCACAAAAAAAACAATTGAGAAAAAAACTAATTTTTTAATTTTTTTTCTTCTGCTGCTCACTTCTGAGAAATCTTTTTTTCACAGGGAGTTGTAGGGACCCTACCACTAGCCTTTGATATCTACTTCTTAACTAAAGGAGAACACTGAAGGAGAAGTTAATGAATAGTAACCAATCATAAGGATTTGCCAACTCAGCCGAAATTCTCTCCCACGCCCACTTCCCAAACTTCTCATGTTACCACATTCTCCAAACTACCCTTTTTGTCTCTCTCTCTGAACTTCCCCCAATCTCCATTCTCTCTTCGAACCTAACCAAATCTAAACCCAGAAACAATGGAGAACCCCACCGTTTCATCATCAATATCAGATCCCATCGTCGCTGATATCTCCGATCGCCAAACAAATCCCTAGAACCACCCCTTCTTTTGTCGCCGATACCCCCTCTCCTCCTCCGACGTCTCCATCGTCAAATGCTTCCTCCACCGTCCTCAGACCTCGGAGATCGTGCCGCCCTCGAATTTGCAGGACAAGTTCGCCGGTAGGTCCTCTTCCCCTTTTACTTTCTCACCGTTTATGTAGGTTAAGAAGCCGTTCTTTTGTGACGTTTTTGACGGATTTTAAAAAAAAAATTTATGTTATTGATCGTTGACAAAGTTAGCTACTCTTCTTTGGGCGGTGAGGTTACCGCTGCTAGAGATGGGATATTTCGATCGGGGTTTCCTGATACTGCTAACTTCAGCTTCTTAACCTGCTTGAGGCTTCCTTCAATTTTGTAAGTTCTTATTGTTTTTTGCTGATTTTTTTTCTTGGTTAAAGTTGAGATTTTGATTGATTTTGGTGTATGGGTTTTGTTCGTTCGATTGTGGATTGGTGAAGATGCCTTTGCCTGGAGCCGTACCCGAAGGCGAATTCGGAGTTCTTAAGGGCTAATGGGATTAGATTGTTCCAGTTTGGGATTGATGGGTGTAAGGTAATTTTTATTTTTACAATTTTTGTTGAATTTTGGTTTATTTTCATTAATATGGAGTTGAATCGTGTTTTTTTAAGATGGAGACTAATGAGGAATCATTTGAAGCCAGACATAAACTTTAGCTTCATTGAATCTTATGTGACAAAAAAAAAGGCAAATGCTTTCTAATTTATGGTTCATTAGGGGTCCTCATTTATCTTTTGCTACTAGCTACCGATAAATATACTTCTCAATTATATTTAGTATTTTTAGCATATTGTTTGGATTGGTTTTTCATTAGCATTTGGCAAGTTCTTATATACTTTATTTACTACACTATTGCTAGCATTGCATTTTCGTGTAAACTTATTATTTAA